GGACCCCCACCAACCTCTGAACTGGGGGGAAGGGGGCCCCCCAAACAATCAGCATAGGGGGGGGCAATGGGGACCCCACCATCCTCTGCACTGGGGGGAATGGGGACCCCCAACATACTCAGCATGGGGGGGCAATGGGGACCCCACCATCCTCTGCACTGGGGGGAATGGGGACCCCACTATTCTCTGCACTGGGGGGAATGGGGATCCCCAGCATACTCATCATGGGGGGGGAATGGGGACCCCACCATCCTCTGCACTGGGGGGAATGGGGACCCCCAACATACTCAGCATGGGGGGGCACTGGGAACCCACCATGCCCTGCACCCCAGGGGGAAGGAGACCCCACTCTCGGACGCCACCACTCTCCGCACGGGGCTGCGAACGAGGACCCCGCGCCGCACCGGCGGAGGCCGCTCTCTGCCCGCACGTGGGGACGCTACCAATCTCCGCACTCTGCGGGGGGAGGGGGAGTGGGGACCGCACCATCTCCGCCCGGGGGGGAGCCCTGCCCTGTCCCTCCGCGCTCACCTCGCAGTCCCGCACCACGTGACAAGGGCGATGTGCGCCGTCACGTGACCCGGAACGAAGCCGCACGTGGCCGTGGGGGGAAGGCGCGAGGCGGGGCAGCACGTGGCGCGGGGCGAAGGGGCGGGGCGGCGCACGTGGCTCTGAGGAAGCTTCGGAAGTGGATTAAGCTAAAGCAAGCACTGCTGCGTTACTGCGTAGTAAGCGAGTCCATTAGTCAGTGCACCCTATAGTCGCACCGTCTGGTCTTGTGGCATTGCTGGCCAGCAAAGCATCCCTGCTCCCCCGCCCTTGTGAACGTCCCCCCATGAGGACGCAGAGGAGCCCCACTTAGCAGACATTAGTCACCGGGCTCATTTTAAACCCTGGAAGGCTCTTGAGATATCCTGGCAACGAAAGCTGAATAAGAGCCTGGAAATAGAACAGGGGAGAGCCTAATCTGGATCTGTCACGGGTGAGAGACGAGCACATCCAGCAGGCCGAGTGTCTGACGCTCCCGACCTAGATTAGGAGACACTGTTGGCTATTCTGAGAACCAGCCCTGCTACGCGGGTCTGAACGGCTAGTTTATTGGCAATTAGTTTCCTTATCTGCTCCCACACTGGTATGACATACGTCCCTGCCCACTGCTGTCCCGCCTGCCGCGTGTTGTAGGAGGGAGAAAGAAAGAAAGAGAGACGGTGTCGCACTTCGAGAGCTGGGTTGCACTCGCAGGTGAAACGACTCGCACGCGGCAGTGCCTGGGGAGCTCAGACGGGGCCTGGACGCCCGCTGTCGAACATGCGGAGGAGGAACAGACAGACGCTACAGTCGAAGCCTGGAACTTGCCGCAGATTTCTTGGCTTGAGCCAGTCATTTTATCTCGCTATGTCTCAGTCCCCGAGCTGCCAAATGGGGATATCGGTCCTTCTCGGCCTCACAGAGATGAGAGAGGATTAATCATTCATCCTCACAAAGCACCCTAAATGAAAGCTGCTGTAGAAAACGCAAAAATAGGATTGCTGTGTGAAAGAAAACAGCTTACTGGATGCCCAGAGGCATGAGACGATTGCTGTGCTAGGCCGTATTTGTAACTGAACCTGGAGCGTCAGAGGTGCGTGGAGTTTTAGACAGACAAGGTTCCTTGGGTGAATTTGATCTCTTTTATTAGACCAACCCAAATGGTTGGAGAATAGTTATTAAGCAAGCTTTTGGGTTCAAAAACCCTTCGTCAGGCTCAGGAAGCTGCAGCAGTTGGTGTGTGCTCTTCCTGGATGGAGTTTTAGACATCATTTTTTAGAACAAAAACCAAAAAATAAAAAAATCCATGCCTACAACCTTAATAAGGGTTTGCCCTGAAATCTTTGATGAAATCTAGAAATTGCTTCTTACCCGAATTCAATTAGGGAAGGTCACCCCAAGGACATGTAAAAGTCCTTCTTTGTGTCACACCCACTGCAAAATAGATTTTCAATAGGAATAACTCAGGTTTTAGAATAATTTTCCTTTCTCTGCTATAGGGGTATCATTGGATGCCTGGCGAAGCAAGAGCCATTCTCTCTGCCCTTAGCACTGGTCTGTGTCCTCATTTGTTTTCTGCTTCAGCTACACCACAAATGCAAGGGAGACTTGTTTTTCAGACAGGCTCTGTGACCTGTGGAGATACTGTGCTGTTATGGAAATGGCATAAGTGCCTAGATTGACAGATAGGACGAAGTTGAAAACAGCTCTGAACAACTGAGTGTACCTGCCTAGCCACATTCAGAAAAAAAATCAATTCATTTTGCAAGCCTGCAAATACATTTCTTCCAGTTCTTCTGGAAGGTCTTGACTAGGTACAGATCCACAGCTGCTCCAGCTCTTCTGCTTAATCAATCAGCTATTGGTATTCTGGAAGAAGAGGAAAGGTGGTTATCAATTAGGAAGCCATTGCTGGCTGCGTTAGACCTTGCACGCTTTGCAGTCTGGAGGGCTGGGCTGACTCAGAAGGCAAATCATCTCCTGTATGATTGCATTTTCAATATGGGACTGGCACGTGGAGAGGTTACTGTCATTGTGTCGGCAAATATTGCTAGCTGGATGGACGCGGGGATCAGCTCTGCTCATGAGAAAGCAGGCACACAAGAGCTTCCATATACATGTCTGACCCAACAGACCGACGCCAGGGCACAGAGAAGGCATGGCATTTGTGTGCCTTGTCTCTTCTGTCGAGCCTGTCAGGTGTGAGCAGCATGGGCTGACATGCCCTGTTCAGCCAGCACCGTAAGCACATGCTGCACATTGCAGAAAGCAAATCCCTGCCCCAAGGAGCTTCCAAATCACTCGTGGGGTATGCATGATGCAGAGGTAGCATGAGTGAGGAGAGCTCAGTGGAGGAAGGCTTTTAGCATCCTGCATATATCTCCACTAAGATATGGTGAGGACTTGTGAACAGCTGTTGGAGGGACTGTTCCCCAGAGAACCCATCACTGTTTTAACCTGAACCCAGTCCTTGCTAGGGACAAGACTTTGTGAAGCTGGTCTCTAGCTTTTAGATACATGAAGCGCAAACAGGATCAGAAGCAGTCACCTGTTCTACTCCGTGCTTGATCCAGCAGGAGTTCCCCGTAACCCGGGACTGTACAGGGTCCATGGAAGGAGAAGACAAGAGGAGTGATTTGAATGGAGAGTTGAGAGAAGAGCAGGACCAACAGGGGAATAGGAGCAAAGAGGGCAGAGATGGATTTTCATAGATTTCATAGACATCAGGGCTGGAAGGGACCTCGGAAGATCATCGAGTCCAGCCCCCCGCCCAAAGGGCAGGAAGTCAGCTGGGGTCATAGGATCCCAGCAAGATAAGCATCCAATTTTCTCTTGAAGGTGTTCAACGTAGGCGCTTGAACCACCTCCGGTGGCAGGCTGTTCCAGACCTTGGGGGCTCGGACAGTAAAGAAATTCTCCCTTATGTCCAGCCTGAAACAGTCTTGTAGTAGTTTATGACCATTCGACCTAGTCGTCATCCCTTGGGGCGCTCTGGTGAACAAACGTTCCCCCAGATGCTGGTGGTCACCCCTGATAAACTTGTAGGTGGCCATCAGATCACCCCTGAGCCTGCGCTTTTCCAGGCTAAAGAGCCCCAGGGCTCTCAGCCTGTCATCGTAGGGTCTGCTTCCCTGACCTCTGATCATGCGCGTGGCTCTTCTCTGCACTCTCTCAAGCTTCTCCACATCCTTTTTGAATTGTGGAGCCCAAAACTGGACACAGTACTCCAGCTGCGGCCTCACTAAGGCCAAGTACGAGGGGAGAATGACATCCCGGGATTTGCTTGAGAAGCATCTATGGATGCAAGCCAGCGTTTTGGTCGCTTTACTAGATATCAGAGCACAGAGATGGCTTCTTCAAGGATAGGAGTTTACATGCTTGCAAATATATCCAGCCTCTGGGGCTACGAGGGAAGGAGTAATTCTCATGTCCCCATGAAGTGCTGGGAATGACAGCAAGGAGGTGGCTGCTGACTGCCCGTCACAGCTCAGTCACTAATGCTATTGCCGTTGTGCGAGCTGCGGTTTGCAGAGTGCATGTAACAGTGGCAAGGCCTTGCAGGGACGGGAGCTGGCAAAAGAACTAGCGCAACTTCAGCACAGCCTGATCTTCTGCCACTGCTCTGAACTGATCCCCATGCTGCATGTCAGCTTTCGCATCTAGGTCCAAATGAAACTTGGAAGACACCACAGGCAAAGGATGTAGAGATCAAGGCATATCAAACACCTGGCAAGTCATGTTGGGATCCAGCCAGGTTCCTCTGCCTGGTACCTTAACGCGATTACATGCAGAGGAAGGTTAAAAAAAACCCCAACACAACAACTCACTATGCACTTGGGCTGCTCTGAGAGCTATTTGTGAATCAATGTGTGTCTGCAGCTAAAAGAGCTGAGGCGGGGGAGGAAGGGGAAAGAGGGGGGTGATGGATGGGGTCAGGGCCGAAATCAGTTTGAGCAGTTTCTGGCGCATTGATCCACCGAGTAAAAGAGCTGCCACACGGGGTAAAGAAAAAGAGGAAAAAAAGTGAAAAAACAACCTGCTGTTTACTGTATGGCTAAGAGGCATTTCCTCCTCACTGCGGGAACCGCTTTCCA